AAAAGACCTGGTGAGCTGCTCCTCTAAAGATGTGTTGCTGTTAAGGGCCATTGAATTGGGTTCCGGTTCACAGTGACCCTGTGTAGAGTTTCCAAGGAGCAGCTGGTGAGTTTGAACTGCCAACCTTGCATTTCAAATCGACCATGAGGTGGAGGTGCTTATCTTATGGTGCTGCTAAGAAACCCTACAGGGAATCCTCGATTGTCCCAGAAGGCCACTATGAGGGGACCGTGACTTGACAGCACACACAGTCACTGAAGAAGAGGTGATTTTGTTGGCAGTAAAATAACTAAGATCAATTGTTCCCTTAGGTCTTTTTAGACCCACTTCCGCACCTCTCACCACCTGACTCTCTTGCTTCCCGGTTCACCATTACATCTTAAGTACAGGGATGTGGCAAGGCCAGGCTCAAGGGAACCCTTGCCTGTTTCAAAGTCAGCAGAGGGGACCCTCTGGCAGCAGCTGGGTCAAACCTGGCAGCTCATGACTCTCTGGAAACACGTGTGGGTATACAGTACAGCACCAGCTCACATGCACCCGCACAGGCACACCTGTGTGCACAGACAGGTGGTCTCAACACCCTGACAGCTGACCGTGTCCCCGAAGGTCACCATGATGCCAGCATGGTGGGCTGCTTATGAGCCACGCTGAGTCCTTATCCGCCGCGTTGATTACAAAGCTTCATTTTCCCTATTGAACAAGTAATCTAAATGGTAATCAAGTTCACACAGGATTGATTATATGGCTCTCTCCCAGAAGCCTCAGCACTTTGAAGAACATTCCAGACGTGTGTGCCTGCTATCTGAGGAACACCCAGCCCCTGAGATGTCTGCTGGAGAGGATTCCTACCTGCTGGGCCACTAGTGAAGCTGGGAGTTCTGGGAATGCAAATTGATTTTAATATTTGCTCCAGACAAGACTCGTCAGTTGAGGCAGAGTTATGTCAAAGGGATTCTGCTGTGTCTCCTGGAGAATTCTGACCCTTCCTAGAACGCTCTGGTGGACTCCTTGTGGGAAGTGCGCAGACGCAGTTTGGATCAGCTCACTCTAGTCTTAGGATGCGGCCAGAACACTGGGATGGCATGGCTGGGTGAGCACCTTAGGTGTCTACAACCCAATGAACTTTCTCCCACACACTGTGCCAACACCACAAAGTAAACATGGCAGGAAGTTCCATGGTCTTGCTACGAATGTTCACAGGGTGCAGGGAGACACCCTGAGATGGAAGCTGTTCCTGGTGGGTTTCTACATGCTTGAAGGGTGAAGGCGTGACCTGAGAGAGCCAGGAAGAGACTCACAACTGGCAGAAAGCAGGCCATGGGCATTGTTTGCACGTGGGCTGTCTGGTCTGGTGTATCACTGAGCACAGGTAGCCCCATGGGGCACACTTGGTCAAGTTCCCGGGGACAAGCTAGAGATACATGGAGCCCATGTCAGCTGTTCCAGGAGCAGGGGAGAGGGCTGGGTCAAAGTCCTGCCAAGAGGCTTGGCAGCTTAGGTGTGAGGAGGGGGCATGGAAACAGAGGCATGGACAGAAATGTTTCTCTCTGGAGGTCTGGGGGCCCTGGGGCCTACGCTCCCAAAGATACAAGAAGGGCAGCAAAGGAGACCAACTGAGGAGGTGGGGGCACAGAGGGCAGGCTGAGAGGGGCCTGGCTGCAGCGTGGGAGGATAAGTCAGGCTGGGCCCCTGGCCCATGGGAGGTGCAGCTGAGATGGGAGCAGGGTGAACCTAGTGCTGTCCCCCAGATGACTTTGAGCACCTGTTTACTACCCTAGCACTTGTGGGTTTCCATGGCTACCTGTGTTTGCCCTCTCAGGTGACCAGGGGCAGACCTAGCCCAGAGCTGGTTCATAAGCAGGATCTGGAAAGGCTGGCTGGCTGGGGGAGGGGGGCAGGAGGCAGGGGGTATCTACACATTATACCACTGAGTCCAGAAGGGCTGGATGCATCAGAGTGGGGGGTGGGGTGGGAGGGGACTCTATGACACCACTTCCCAATCTCTCTGGTTTCCTGGTATCCACAACCCCCTACCCCATCTCCAGACATGGAGTCCTGGCCCCAGGGGACACATGCTCCAATTCTGTTTGTCCACAGGAAGTGTGAACTAGGTGCTGTTCTGCTGGAGGCTCTGAACGAGCATGTGTCCCTGCCCGTGCTCCTGCCTGCCTCTCCTGAGGGACCCCGACAAGAGGCAGTTCCCCTGGGATGGCAGAGAGCAATCCCTAGTTGTCGCAGCCAACACTGTGGCACTAACCACAGCTGGTCACAGAACCATCAGTGATTTGGGTTCTACAGGAAAATGTCTGCCTTTACCATCTCGCCAGCAGACAGGTTGACTGTAAACGTCCCTTCCCCCTTAAGAGGTGATGTTATTGGCTTTAACGGACACCAATCAAATGGTGGTTCAAACCCAGCAGCGTCTCCTTGGAAACCCTGTACAGGGTGGCTATGAGTTGGAACTGACTCGGCAGCACATAACAGCAACAAATAAACAAGCATGAAAGCGAAGTTCTTGTTAACACTGAAATACCACAGGGACCACCTGAGCCACAGGAAAACACGTGCCAGCAGGACCCTCCCAGAGCAGTCCTGTCACCAGATGGTCTTGAACTTGGGGAGTAAAGCTTCCTAAGATATTTCATTCTAGATTGGACTCAATCATCTTTTATTATACGTTGTTGTATGCCATCAAGTCAGTTCTGACTCAATAGCAACCCTGTACAGGGTTTCTGAGGCTGTAACTCTTTCTGGGAGCAGAAAGCCTCATCTTTCTCCTGTAAAGTAGCTGGTAGATTCGAACTGCTGACAAACGTGTAACCCACTATGCCACCAGAGCTCCTTTAAATTATATCAGACTTTTAAATATTCAGTTACAGGGATGTGATCATGTAAGGATATTTGTTTCGGGCACACAGTTGGATGGCAAATATGATGTCACCCCTGCTATCTCCCAGGGTGGCAGTCCAGAACACTGTTGCCAGCAGTGAGGCCCCGGCAGAGTCTGCGGGCCCAGGAACCCAGCCCAGCCACGATGACCTGCACCACACCATGTGTGTGCCTTAGTGACTTGGAGCCACCATTGCTTCCTCCACAAAACAAAGGGAACAGACCTGAACAGCTCCGATGGCATCTGCTGTGTGTCTGTGACTCTGTACTTCCTGACTGGATTTGGTTTACAGCTGTTGGCAGCTAGCTATTTTAATCAAATGGTATCTGCACAAACCACCACCTGTCTGTCAGTTTGTCGCACCGTGGTGGCGTGTGTGTTCCTGTGATGCCGGAAGCTATGCCACAGGTATTTCAAATACCAGCAGGTTACCCATAGTGGTTGGGTTTCAGTGGCGCTTCCAGACTAAGAGAGACTAGGAAGAAAGTCCTGGAGATCTGTTCTGAAGGTGAACTCCCGGAGCTGGAAAACATTCACAGTATAATGTGGCCACAATGACTCGAGCAGACCGATAGTTGTGTAGATGAGGCAGGATGGGGCAATGGTCCATCTGGCTGTACGTTAGCTTGCCAGGGCCAAAGAACCACAGAAAGCTTTAAAGAGGGTAAGACAAAGGAACACCACCCAGGGTTGGTACCAGCTGCCCATCCCAAGACAAGCATAGGAAATGAAGACCCCAGGGGTACCCCCAGAGGAATTTGAGAAGTCTGAACCTGAACCCAGAACATTCTTTGTTGGACTGAAGAGTCCGTGGGGCTCCACCCAAACCCAGCCTAGACAAAGGGGCTTCAAATGGTTTGCAAAAAGATTCCATTATCTTAGTGGTGCTGCAGGATAAAGCACTGGACTTCATCATCGGTTTGAATCACAAGGTGGGCAGTTCAAACCCTATAAAGGTCTGAACTCACCAGCCGCTCCTTGGAAACCCTATACAGGTCCGAACTGACTCAACGGCCCTTAGCAACAACATCATTCCACATGTCCACAAACTCTGAAGCACCCTCGTATTTTTGCCAACGACTTGGAATGCTGGTTAGAGACACGTGTTCCCGGGGAGATCCACGCACATTCTGTTGGTCTCTTTTTCCTAAATTCCAGAAAGCCTCACCTAGGGGCAGTGGTAAGCACTTTGCTACATACTTGGCCCTGAGAAGGACACATTCAAGCCCACAATGCACGTGGCATTTGGACAGCTCTTCAAACAGTGCTCTTGGTGGGAAGAAGGGAGACTCAGCTGCCCAAGGACCCGGAAGCCAAGAGGAGGTCTGTCACAATACAACTCCCCTGCCCCAGGTCTCCCTGCAAGGCTCTGGTACTGTTTGCTAAACTGCACTTTATTGAGCATGGTTATTTCCCAGATGTGACTTTTATTTAGAATTATACCCCAAATTGCACCTTCGGGGGCCTGAACATTTTCCTGGGAAGAAAGATCAAGTTCCTATAACCAAAGAAATAACCCGAGGCATCCCCAGGCCTCCAGATTGGAAAGTTTGTCTTGGCAGCCCCCAAGGACATGCTCCCAGGTCCTCGTCTCATGGTATTCTTGCTCTAGGAAGGCAGGCCTGAGGTCAGCTCTGGTCACGGTGGTATCCCCAGCTCCTAGGACCATGTGACTGGCCAGGGAGGGCTCCATATAATGACTTCCCCATGGAGTAAATCAGTGTTTCTGCCCCCCTGCACTGAGCCAGCTTGACATTGGCCTAAAAGTCTGTCAGCTGGCCATCATCCCCTCAGCACGCAGCATGAGAGGGGCTTCAAGGTGACAAATGTTGATGCAGACAAGCTGGAGCCAACCTCTGGCCATGAATCTGTTTACAATCTTTAAAGGGCAGAGGGGAGCTCTTGCAAATATCTGTTGGGAGCCAAGAATTTGAACTTGCTACCCTGGCTGCTATAGTTGTGTGGCTTCTTGCCCAGCAAAAATGGCCAATTTGTGTCTCAAATTGTTCCTACTGAACGTGATGCCCGGACACTGCCTCCCAGAGCATGTCTGGTCACGCTATTTGTCAGTGTCCCCCACAGGTGGGAACTCCAGCCCCCAGTATCTCACCGCTGAGAGGGTGGGGCACGGTGAAGTGTTTCTTGTTGGTGCGGACGGGTGGGAGGTTCTGCTTTGGCCCCGATGGCTCGCCCCGCTGGGCCTTGCGCTGTTGGACCTTGAGCTCCAGTCTCTTCAGCCGTTCTTGTGAGCGAGAGATGAACAGTGGTTTGTGGGCTTCTAGTGCCTCCTGAGTGGACAACAAAGAAGCATTTTAGGAGAAGAGACGTGGAGAGGCCAAGATTGATTTGTCGATGAGGCCAATCCAACGTGCAATACATAGCAGATCAAAGAGCCGTGCAGCCCCCAAACCGTGAGCTCACAGTGAGCCAGAGCACAGGGCGGAGCTGCCAGGTTTCCACGGAAGCAGACTGCCTCATCTTCCTCCCTGGGAGTGACTGGAGGATTCCAATCGCCAAGCATTCAGTGAGGGGCTGCGCGTTCACCCACCGCATCACTAGGCCCCTGACAGTGCCGGAGCATATGCCTTGGCTGCTGGGGGCCTGCTAGCTCCCTAGGTCCTGGGTCTCATGGCTCTGCCAGCCTCATCACGAGCCCATGTGAGGCTGTGAGTGCACTGATGCCTGCTGGGGTTCCAGTCCAGACAGCAGAAGAGCTTACCTGTAAGGTCAAGTTACTGAGAGGTATCTGCTGCACATCGGAGTCGGCCTCTGACAGGTCCGCGTTGTCTGGCTCTTGCGGGGAATGCTGCTGGGAGGGAGCCGTGTCCGGGGGAGCTGGTAGAGGCTGGGGTGTGGTCACGTCCTTCTTCTTCTGACAGGTCATTATTTTTACAACCAGGTCACAGCCTGGGTCCCCTAGGGCAGACAGAGAATACCATTAGAGGGTTTCTTCTGCGCTCCCAGCATCATTAGACACACGGGAAAGTCAGTGGGTTACTGATGGGCCTTGTCAGCTGGGGAGACCCTGCCTGTGCAGAGACCCTCCTGCCTGCCTGGATCTCTCTCTAAGCAGCTCCTCAGGCCCCCGTTTTGGGCATCTAGATTGCCTTTGCACATGAGAAGAGGGTTCTCTCCTCTGTGTATGTTGTGCAATGATCCCACTTGAGTGGTTCGGGGACAATGCATTAATCTGTTTTCACTGGCTGCACTGATGGCAGAGGATGGAGGAATTGTAGTGAATTCTTTATCCTGCCCATTCATTTGATGGAGACAGTGGCTGTGGCTTTATACTTTTAAGTGGCACCATGCCTCTTTCCACGCTGCTGTCTTGACCGCTTCCTGGGCCCATTGAGAGGCTCCTTGGTGGAAAGGGTTAGGGAACGTGTGGTTCAATGCCACGTTGGACAGGACTGCCTCGGGGGGCAGGGGCTCAGGTCACTTTCCAAGGTTGGAGTTAGGGTGGGATAGTAATACTGACTCCAGGAAGAATCCCAATGCAATGTCCTTTCAAGCAGCCTCCAAGGCTCCCTTTGGACTAAGCGCCCACTCTCCCCACTGCACCCTCCCCATCTCCAGCCATAGCCTGACATCCACTCTCAGTCCTTAGCCCACCTGCTCACAGCCCCTCTGAGTCCTCTATCAGGTACTTTCCGGTTCCAGGCTGGCTCCAAATCCTCCAAGAGGCTTCCCTCACCTTCCCAAGCTGGGGTCGGCTCCCGCTCCTGGGGGCACCCACAGAAAACACACCCCACATGCAGCTGCAGCCTCAGAGACTGGGTACGTTTGAGGTGATGCTGCGTTAACCCCACACCCCTGTGGTTCCCTTGGGAGATGGGCCTCAGAGCCAGGATGGGTGTCCAAAGGTCAGGGGCTGACCTCTATGAGCCAGCTCCACTGGGAGTGGAGAGGTGGCCACGAGAAGCTCACCTGCCACATCCTCTCTCTCCAGAGTCATCAAGATCACCTTACTATCCACAAGTCCAAGCAGACCAGACTTATGTCTAGTGCATGGTGGCTGTCCCCCCTCCACTGTCCCTGCTGATTCTCTACCACCATAATATGATCACTCTTTCATCTTCTAAGCATTTGTTCCTCCTGCTCCTCCTGTTGGACAATTCTCTTCTGGGACTCCCCTGAGCCTCCCCGCCTCAGGTATAAACAGACGCCATCTCCCGTCCCACCCCTCCAGTCAGAGTTAATGGGGTTTTCCACCACATTGCTTCCATTTCTCTACATGCAGGGAAGCCTTCTCCACCATCTACTGTGTCATGAGAACGTGCAGCCAAGGGCCAGGGCTAGCACACCTGGCTCCTCACTGCCCCTGTGAAAGGTCAGTCAGGTGGGGCACAACCCCACCAAGGCCGGGCCTCACCAGGGCTCACTGTATGGACACATCTATCCCCTCACCTCTGTTGGGTCTCATCTCCCCAGCCAAGTCCTCCTACTTGTCCTCTAACATGTTTATGAAACAGTTTCCAAATCTGAGTCCACCTCTTCCCTTCAAGGGTTTACACCCCAGATTCCCTCAGCTACTGCTCAGGCCCATCCCGCCCCGACACTCAGAAATCTCTCCCTCAGCGCCCTGGCTCTCCCAAGCCTGCAGTGGCCAGAATCAACCTCGTTCTGGGCCAGCTTTTGTGTATCTTTCTTGCAGCCTGACCTTTTCCCTCTGATCTCATTTCTGAATGTCAAACCAGCATTCAAGTCCTGGCTCAGCATCGTGTCCTGGGAGTGAGTATCAGGGGCTGTCCTCTGCTTCCCAAGAGGGCCTCAGATGGGGGTCATGAGGACAACCCTCTCACACTGGACTGAGAGCATCTGGAAGGCATGGACCAGCACAGTTCCCGGTATCCAGTAGGTGCTTAATAAACACTATGAATATTAAGGGCTAACGTGGGATAGAAGTGGAATGATTTTTATCAATTACCACAACATTTTATCATTCACAACTCGAAGGCAATCTGGTACCTTGCTTTCTGCCCTTGGCTCTTGGAGAAAATATTTGGCATGATCGGAAATGTAAACGTGCTCACTGGCAGCCTGGGGTTTGCAGACCCTTATTCCTGGGTTCTTATGTGTGTTCCTGGCACTGCATTCTAGTCACAATCCCTCATGTGAGCTCCAGAAAGAGAGGCCTGGCTCCCCCCTTTGCAGTGTGCTGCTCAGAAGGGCCATTGTGGATAAAGTAAATGGGGCTGCGAAGTGCCTGGCACTGACAGGACCCCAGATCCCACTGCCAGTACCACGGCTAGCCAATCCAGGGGGCTACAATCAACCGGGGTGGGGATCTGCTCTGCTGGAGGGCAGCCTCTGTACACCTCAGGTTGTAGGACTGGGGGTCCCTGGTCCACCCAGGGCGGGCTTCTTGGTGCTCAGGGGGCAGCCACTCTACCAGTTCGTTTTCTTCATCTTCCTCTTCATCTGCCCTCATGGCTGGAGAAGGAGCAGGCCCCGGGAAAACACCCCACACGCTGAACTCCATAGGAGTCTGATGAGAAGGCATCACTTCAGCCCTGCCTCCCTTGCTCCTTACCTTTGGGGAGCTCTTTCTGGATCTGAGTCCCACTGTGGTCCTGCCGAGGTGCGCATGCATCTTCTAGGGGGCAGAGAAACCCAGCCAGAGGGGCTCTGGGTCCCGGGAAGCTGTGATGCTGACTCTCTGTGGGCCCGCAGGGGGTGCTAGACTGATGGGCACGTTTTGGAGAGCTGCCCCCATCGGGAAGGAACTCTTTAACGGGCTTTTGTTCCACTGGGGGAGCAGACAAAGTCATACGCGGTTCTTGTTGCTTCTCGCTTCGTCCAGAAAATACTTTTGTTTCTACTAAAAATAAAATGAGAGTGGTGCTCAAAATATCTGCTGAGTCTCAAACTTAACACACCGCCTTCTCCCACCCATGAGGCTCGTGGGGAGTGAGGCTGGAAGGTAACAATGCCAGATGGTGGCCAACACCCTAGATTGTCTTGTAGGCATCTCACTGTCCTTCCTGCGATGCCTACTGAGGTTCAGTTAGGAACTCCAAGGAGAGACTATGTGCTCGTGTATTTGGATCTTAAAGAGATGGTGCCCATGGGTTTCTACGTTCCTACAGAGTGTGGTTTAGCACACAGACTCTGGGACTAGACACCTGCTGCCACGTTTAAGCTGTCTGACCTCATCAACAAATTGGCATCATAAAATATTCGACTCACGAGGTGAAAGGGGGGTAATTCATTTAACGTGCTTAACCGTCCTTAGGTGAATCGACCGTATGCAATCCAAAGGGCAGTATTTGCCCAAGGATGAAGTTCAGAGGGCAGGAGTGGGTGGGGAAGGAGGACAAATGGAAACAGGAAGCATGGGACCAAGTGGGAAGAGTGCTACTACATTGTGGAGATTCTAAACAATGCCAGGAAGCAACATGAGTGTACATTGTTGAATGGAAAACCAATGTGCCCTGTCAACTTGTGAACTGAATGACTGTTGTTGTTGTTAGGTGCCATTGAGTCGGTACTGACCCATAGAGACCCTATGCACAGCAGAATGGAACACTACCCAATCCTGTGCCAACCTCACGACTATTGCCACACTTGAGTCTATCGATTCTGCCACTTGGCCAATCCATTTCGTTGGGGGGTCTTCCTTTTTCTCTGACTTTCCACCTTACCAAACATAATGTCCTTCTCTAGAGACTGGTCCCTCCTGACAATATATATGAAGTATGAGAGACGAAGTTTGGCCATCTTGGCCTCTAAGGAGCACTCTGGCTGCACTTCTTCCAAAACTGACCTATTGATTCTTTTGGCAGCCCATGGCACTTTCAATATTCTCCTCCAACACCATAACTCAAAAGCATCAATTCATCTATGGTCTTCCTTATTCACTGTTCAGCTTTCGCATGCATATGAGGTTATTGAAAATACCACGGCTTGGGTCAGGTACACCTAAGTCCTCAAGCTGACATCTTTGCTCGTCAACACTTTAAAAAGGTCTCGTGCAGGAGATTTGCCTAATGCAATACATTGTTTGATTTTTCTGACTGATGCTTCCATGAATGTTAATAGTTGATCCAAGCAGAATGAAGTCTTTGACAACTTCAATCTTTTCTCTGTTGAGAAGAATGTTGTTTTTGTTTTCTTTACATTGAGATGCAATCCATACCAAAGGCTGTGCTCTTTGATCTTCATCAGTAAATGTTTTAAGTCCTCTTCACTTTCAGCAAGCAAGGTTGTATCATCTGCATATCAAAGGTTGTTAATGAGTCTTCCTCCAATCCTGATGCTACATTTTTCTTCATATAACCCAGCTTCTCGGATTATTTGCTCAGCATACAGGTTGAATAAGTATGGTGAAAGAATACAACCTTGTCGCACACCTTTCTTAATTTTAAAACATTCAGTGTTACCTTGTTCTGTTTGAACAACTGCCTCTTGGTCCAGGTACAGATTCCTCATGAGCACAATTAAGTGTTCCAGAATACTCATACTTTGCAATGTTGTCCATAGCTTGTCATCATCCACACAATCGAAAGCCTTTGCGTAGTCAATAAAGCACAGGTAAACATCTTTCTGATAGTCTCTGCTTTCAGCCAAGATCCATCAGACATCAGCAATGATATCCCTCATTCCACAGCCTCTTCTGAATCCAGCTTGAACCTCTAGAAGTTCTCTGTCAATGTATGATTGTAGCCATTTCTGTATTAACTTTAGCAAAACTTTACTCGCAGGGGATTATCAAGGAGATTGTCCGAAGATTTCCACATTCCATTGGGTCACCTCTCTTTGGAATGGGCACAAATATGGATCTCTTCCAATCAGTCGGCCAGATAGTTGTCTTCCAAATTTCTTGGCAGAGATGAGTGAGTGCCTCCTGTGCTGCCTCACTTTCTTGAAAGATTTCAATTTTTATTCCATCAATTCCTGGTGTCTTGTTCAAAAGACAGTCAAGTATCTTAACATTATTCCCCGCCTTTTGCCCATTCCAACCATGTCTCAATCCCTGTGTCTCAGAGCCCTGTTGTTCCAAGGTTGTGCATACATCATTATTTACCTCTGTCCCGCTTCAGCTTCACATTCAAACTATTGTATTTTGTTTGATTGCAATGATTACAATCCCCTCCGTGCATCATCAAATAACCAAAGGATACACCCCACAGGCCCGCCCCACTGGCTCTCAGCAAACAGCCACTCTCCCTACTTGAGTCCCGTGTCCCCAGCCACTCCATCTGTCCACATCATCACCTCTGTCACCATGCCTGGCTTCACTGCCCTTCTAGGTAGGGTCACAATCTCAACTCTTCTCATTTGATGATCCCAGGGACCTCTGCTGCTGGGCTGCAAAATCAACCATTCCCCTCCTTTTGCAATGACAGTGGGTTTTTGAACTTCACCATTAACACAAAAACACTCTGGGAGAGAAACCATACTGATGTCAAGTAATGGACTCTGCCAAGTACAGAGACAGGAATCACTTGCTGGGTCACTGTGTAACCCTCTAATAAAACAAGCACCTCAAGATGTGAACACTGGGCTGGGCTGCTTGTTGTCATGTTGTGGTTTTAAAGGCCTAGAAACTGCTGTCCCCCAACAGCAGATGAGTTGGGGACACCACATCCCTTCTCAATAGCAGTTAAAATGAACGAGGCAGAAGCTAGTGTGTAGATGTGGGATAATCTCCAAGGTACACAATGGCGTGAACAAAGCCAAAATCAGGACAGCGGGTCAGGCCTACTTCCTCAGGAAATGATCTTCTGTGCAGACTGTCTCTGGAATGATCCGGAAGCAGCTGGAAAGTGTGCTGCTTCAGCAGAGGATGGTGGGAGGTGGGGAGAGGCTTTCTTCTCCCTCTTTATACTCCTTATCCTCTCCTCTTGTCTTTGAATTGTTCCCTTATGGAATCGTCTAGATAGAATTTATATAGAAAAATGAAAGATGATAGGAGAATCGATACATTTTAGTTACCGTGTTGACGACGAGTCTTAAAAGTACTATGAGTTTCCAGAAGAACAAAGACATCTGTGTTGGAAGGAATACAACCCAAACAGAATGCTCCTTAGAAGGCAGGATGGTGAGACTTTGTCCCTTATACTTCAGACATGTCATCAGGAGGGACCAGTCCCTGGAGAAGGACATAATGCTTTGTAAAGTGGAGGGTCAGCAAAAGCGGCATGACCCCCAATGAGATGGATTGGCACAGTGGCAGCAGCAATGGACTCAAATATAAGCGGAATTGTGAGGATGGCGGAGGACCAGGAAGTGTTTCATTCTGTTGTGTATAGGGTTGCTGTTTGTGGGAACCCACCTGATGGCACCTAACAAGCTGCTGTTGTCTAATAAGGCAGTGGCTTATTAGATTCCATCAGGGAGAAGAGGCCCAGGTGGGGACATCCCAGAAATAGCCACTGTCGTCAAGGGAAGGCATCAGAATCTTCTAAGATGGGGCAAGACCACTGGAACAGAAAGGTTCTTCCAAGAGGACCAGGTATCTTTTCTCAAATGTCTTCTGTATGAACGGAGGAGAGGGCCCACAACTGCCTGGCAGTGGGTGGGATGGGATGGTGGCCTTTCTTAACGTCATCTCAGATATTTGAAGTTCTGATACCCTCTGGCCCCTGCCGTGAGAACAGGCTGCTATGGAAGTGGGGTGGTGAGGGGGAGCCGAGGAAGAACAAAGGCACATAGGCAGTGGGCTTAGAGGGTCCCTTATTGTGATATCTCGGGCAAGAGACTCAGTCTTGACAAATACCACTTTCCTGACTTACCAAAGGGGTAAAGCCCCGTTTCCTTAGAAACAAACACACATGATGTCCGTAAAACACCTACAGGGTCCTCATGTTGGTATATGGCAGTGGTGGTGGGTGTGTGTCACCAAATCATTCTGACTCATAGCGACCCGTGTAGTGTTTTTCTGAGGCTGTAAATCTCTACACGAGCAGAAACCCTCATCTTCCTCCTGAGGGGCAGCTGGTAGATTGGAACTGTTGACTCTGTGTTTAGCAGCTCAATGACTAACCCACTATGCTACCAGGATGCCTTGGGTATATTGTTGTTGTTAAGTACCATTGAGTGGGTTCTGACTCAAAGTGACCCCTGCATGGAGTTTCAAAGGAGTGCTGGTGGGTTTTAGCTGCCAACCTTGAGGTTCACAGTTCAGTGCTTATCGTACATTGCCACCCCAGGACTTACTCCTTGGGTACATGTTTTATTGTTAAGTGCCATCAAGTCAGTTCCAACTCATCGCGGTCCTGTATAGCGTTTCTGAGGTTTTAAATTATGAGTAGAGTCTCATCTTTCTCTCTTTGGCACACAGACGGTACCAAAAAAGGAAAAAAGGCAGGTTTATTCAGCCTTGTCACTGTTGGAGAGGAGATGTGTCCACCTGTCAAAGCTGGGCTTTACTAATTGGTACAGAAAAGTTGTTCCAAACTTTTATTTCAAAAGCAATGGATTCTGATTAAGTAAACTATTGCAGGCAAAGTTCTAAAAATAGTCAGTCCTTTCTACTTGACCTCCCCTCATTGGTGGTGGCTGTGTGCCGTGGAGTCGGTTCCAACTCACAGCAACCCTCTATGGGGTTTCTGAGGCGGTAAATCTTTACGGGAGCAGAAAGCCTCACCTTTCTCCCACGGAACAGCTGGTAATTTTGAACTTCTGACCTTGAGGTTAGCAGCCTAATTCATAACCACTACACTATGAGAGCTCCTTATCTCCTCTCATTAGAAACTCTTAAAGAATCAACAGCCTATTAATTATCAGCAATGCAGTCCCAATCTTCTGGGTAACTTATCACTCCACGTCAGGTCCCTAAATTCACATAGCAGACCTGTTCAACAAAGGTAGTCTGTG